TCTTTGGCTGTGGAGGTTTAATGCCTCTCCTTTTGGGGTTGCAGCAACTCAAGCATCCCAACCTAGTCAACCTGCTGGAGGTGTTCAGGAGAAAGCGCAGGCTCCACCTGGTGTTTGAGTATTGCGACCACACGGTGCTCCACGAGCTGGACAGACACCAGAGAGGGTGAGTGACCCCGCCCCGCGGCCTTATGCACCACCAAACCCAACCCAACAAGAGCACACAGGATGTATGTGATGGAGGGTGTTGGGAGCCGCTGAAGCTGGAAATCGGTCAAATGTGTGAGGGCAGGACAAGGCCACCGTGCCAAAGCAGTCAAGCTCAGTCTCAAACAAAAGCATCCTGCCTGGTCAGTGTCAGTTATTAGGCACTAGGCAACCTTGTATCACATAACACTAACTTTGCAAGGTATAAATAAATGCCCTGCTGTTGTTTTTAGGGACCTTTGCTACTCAGGCATGGGCCTCTACCTCCACCCAACTCTTTTTTTTTTTTTTAATTGAATAAGTAATTTTATTTCCATGATTTATTTACACTGTACAAACACTGATGAAAAGCACCCCACAAGTTCACAGTACATTACAATACATTTACTTTAAAAATATATTCCTTTATAAAAGGCTCATTGAACATTGGCATGTCAGTATGTGACAAACTCTCAAAGCACACCACCTACTCTGGGGATAGACAGCAAGAATGCTTCTAAGGACTGTCAATTTCACAATCACAGGTCACCATTTGGGTCTTAAATACATACCAGTTTTAAATTAAAAAAATGAATTCTACAGTGGAAAGTTCTCGAAGCAATACTTGTTAGTTCATTACCATACATACTTCATGGAGATGTTCTGTCATAATAATCCACAATGTTATTATATGATATCTTCTCCTAGTATTAGAAACTTTAAAAAGTATATTTCCATTTTCTGTTGACTTAAAAAAAAAAAAACCCAGAGGTTTGTACCTATGTTGTTTATTTATTCTTGCCTATTTCTTGTTATATGAGAAACTACTTTGGCAAGAACAATACACAATGTACTAACCATTGTTACTCTCCTAAAATCTTGTTTTGAGATTTTGTACCATTGTTTTTATTTATTTTTCTTTAAAATAAGTAAGTGATGTCAAAAAAATAAAAAAAGAAGAAGAAGAACCCATGTTGTTGACCGAAAAGGCCTTGTACCCCACTGACTAAGGTGAAAACGCTGTATATATTTTGCATGCAGTAAAACGTACTTATGCTTGGAAAAAAAAAAAAAATCCACAATGTCAAATAATCTGACCAAAGATACACTTTGACAGGCTTAGGAGTCCAGAAGTCTCGTCCTTTGTTGTTTCCTACTTTTTCTTTTTTGCTGATTCTCCTGGCTCTACTTTGTGCTTTTTGGAAGTATGCTCTTCTTTCTCATCATCTGATTCCAGCGTTTCCTCCCCTTCTGGTAGAAGCCTAGCTTTCTTAGCGCTCTGTGGGGCATCGTCTCCATTGTCCTTATATATGTTCGACCATTTTATCGCCATATCCAGCTCTGGAGGCGGAGGTTTCTTCTCAATAGTGTAGGTCTTGGGCAGTGGTACATAGTTTGACTTCCATATTTTGAATTCTTTTGGAGGCTCTTCAGGCGCCTTGACGACGTGCCTCTCCTAGCTCAGCGGGTGCTGCCATGACAGCGATGCGCGAAGGCTCAGGATGCTGCCGGAAGTCCCCAACCCTTTTTTTGTTTTGGGATTTTTTGGTGAACCAGGGATTGAACTCAGGCCCTTGCGCTTGCCAGGCAAGCACTTATTCTAGTGAGCTATCTCCCCGGCCTCTCCACCCAACTCTTTGCCTTCTCTATCTTTTCCTCATTGCTGCAAGTTTCTCCCTGGGGTACACCAAGAGACCAACGAGTCCCTACAAGGGGGAAGCTGCCATGGCTAAGAACAGCCCGTGTTCGTTTTGGCGGCCTGCCGTGCTAACCTGTTGACAGCGACAAAATTACCAAAACCAACCAAACAAAAAAAAAATCAATGTGAAAGAGATCAGAAGAGTCATCTTCAGGACAATCCACCCATGGCTCTTGGCTTGACTTGATGTTCTTGGTACATTATCTGCACGCAGGAGCCAGATCTGTACAGACAAAAAGCAAGGCTAGTAGTCGCTCGTGTCTGACTGGGGAAGCGTAATGGCGCAGCCTTTAGAAGGAAGAGTCCAAAGGCAACGGGGATGGGAAGTTTAAGGCTGAAAGAAAGCACACATACTATTTTATTTCAAGCCACCTGTGTATCTGGGATGCTCTCTTAGGATTTTTTCAGTTACATGTGACAAAACCCAACTTGCTAAGTGTAGCTAAAGAATTTGTGGGTAACTGAGGAAGATGGGGGTGGCTGGGGTCTCACTGATCTTGTCACCTCTGTCTCTCTGTCTCTGTCTCTGTATCTGTCTATCTTTCTGTCTCTCTCCCTCTCCCTCTCCCTCTCTCTCCCTCTTCTTCCTTTCTCTCTCTCTCTCTCTCTCTCTCTCTCTCTCTCTCTCTCTCTCACACACACACACACACACACACACACCTCTCTGTGTTGGTTTCATTCTGCCTTGAAAATAAGCTTCCCGTGGGGGTTGGGGAGATGGTTCAGTAGAATAAGCGCTTCCCTGGCAAGCGCAAGGGCCTGAGTTCAATCCCGGTTCCTCAAAAAAAAAAAAAAAAAGAAGAAAAGAAGCTTCCCTTATAGGTGGGTTTTGGAAGTTACGTGTGCAGCATGGACTAGAAAGAGGAAAGGGAAAATGCAAAACACAATTGAAAGGGGAAGAGAATTTTGGAGAAGGTGACAGGGAAGAAGGGCCTCATCTTCTTCTGCTCTGTTCCAAGAGCCCAACCTTAGCTCAGGACACAGGAAGGATGCTTTCTGTGTAAGGCAAACTGGCCCCGCTGACTGGAGGCGAGGACCCTCCCAGCAGCTCTCCATGGCTGGCACCCTGCTCTGCGTATGGCACTGGCTGCACACGATCCACCACGGGCTCCGGGCAAATGCGATTACAACGGCTTGTGGTTTGTCAGTGACTGTGGAACAGGCGTTTCATGCTGCAGGTTAGTTTACACAGCCAGGCAGAGCCCAGCAAGCAGGCACTGCCTTTTAGAGTGTCGCTGCGACAGAGAGATCATGTGCTTGAAGGAGCAAGCATTTCACATGTTCCTGTTTGCGCCTTTGCCAGCTTGCAGTGACACTTGGGTGAAGTAAGTATCGGAGTCCTTTGCGGCCCTGTGGTAGGGTATGCCAGCAAGGCGGCAGTCGCTTCAGGCCATGTTCATCACGCTAGGGCCAGTGGCTTGGTCACAGGGACTCACGGAGTCTGAAGTAGTTAGGAGTTCGTTTTTGGCATATAGTTTGGGCAGAAGAAAAGGATAGGATATAGGTGCTTAGTGTTTTGAAAGCTGATTTTTTTTTTTTTTTAAAGCCTACTGGTTAACACATATAGCATATTCCAGGAAATAGAAAATGCTTCACATGCAAGTGTGTTAGAGAAGTGAGAGAACCATAGTTTTCTTTTGCTTTTTAATGTATTTGGTACAGGGTCTTGCTACGCAGCTTGGACTCATAGTGAGCCTCCTGTTTTCATAGTGTTCCACACGCTGGGACTACAGGCATGCACTGCCATGCCATGTCGCCCTGGGGTAGCGGCCAGTGCAGCATGTGGTGCCAGGAATCGAACCCGTCCCTGAACTTGCCTGAGCAGGGGCTTAGTCCTCTGAGCCATCACACCAGCCCTGAGAACAATAGTGGTGTGTGTGATTAAAAATAATCTTGTTTTTAAAAAATGTATTTAGTAGAGGGGCTACAGGGTTTCACTATACAGATCAGACTCATAGTGATTCTGTTTTCAGCCTCCCAAGTGCTGGGGTTACAGGCATGCACCACCATGCCCAGTCTCAGTCACTGTCTCAGTGTGCCCTAGGGATGGAGCCCACACAGCGCGCCTGGAGGATCCAACCACAGTCCCTGTGCCTGCCTAAGCAGGCGTTTTAATCCACTGAGCTACTGGCCGGCCCTAATTTCAAAATTCTGTCATTGCTACAAAGTAAATATTAAGTGTTATGAAGTAAAAACTTTGAAATTTGTACGAAAACTTTTTAATTTCAAGATAGAAGTCTAATATCATCAAATAAAACTGTAATTTGTTCACAATCAAGATGAGTTTGCTGGGGCTGGTGAGATGGCTCAGTGGTCTGGAGCACCTACTTAGAACAAGCTTAGCAAAGCACAGTGACCCTGGTTCAATCCCCCAGCACCACATGCCAGCCAGCCCCGCCCCCTGGTGGGCTGAGCTGGCCACACACACACACACACACACACAAATAAAAATAAATTTAAAAAAAAAAGGTGGAGAGGAAAGTGAGGATGTAGCCCAGTGTTCAGGCCTTGAGTTCAATCCCTGGTAGAAGGGAAGATGAGAAAAGTTTTTATTAAATGATTAACTGGTAAAGCCGTTTCAGGTGTTATTCAGATGTTACAATGTGGCACAATTC